TTTCATACTAATAATTTGTGCTAGCTGCTTTTTTTTTTTTACTTCCTTTTTCAATTTCAGTTCAGTAAACAGATTGTACTGCATGAGTTAGGCTAATGCTGGAGTATGCCACTAATTTCCTGTATACCTTTGGGTTGCCGGGGTGGCGTTGATGTTATTGATAGGACCCAATGCGGTCTGGAAGAAGTACCGGCCGAAGTGGACCGAAGTGCACATACTTTAGAGGAACTGTATTTGGACTGTAATCAAATTTCTGAAATTAGTGAAGTATGTTAATTGCATTAAACATTAAGTTTGAAAGGGAAAAAAGAAAAAAAAGAAAGCTGAATTATTGTTCTTGTTACTTGATGGCTTCAGACGGTTATGCAGTAGTGCTGTGTTGTTACATTAGTTGAATGGCATTTTCTAGAAATTGGCTAAATGTCGAAAATTACGTACCCTATCATTAGCGCAAAACAAGTTGCTTCGAGTACCATCGTTTATCGGCTGTCTGAAGGCACTTGAAGAACTGTATTTGGAAGATAATGGTAGGTAACTGTTAATTTTGATTCATTTATAATCAGGTTATTGTTTTTTATCCCAGTCTTTCAGTAACATTTCGACTAATGATGGTTTTTGCTGACTTTCAGATGACAGTTGTGATAATACCAACATTTTACTGTAATATAGAATCTGCTTTCAGAATTAACAGATCTTCCAGTGGAACTTGAAGACTGTACAAACTTACAGGTTTTGGATTTACGACTGAATGTTTTTTTAAGGTAAATACTCGTTTAACTGTAGTCGTATGAAGGCGATCAAAAGACTTTTTTTGCAAGTCTTTAAATTGCAACAATCGTCTGATATGGTCGTTCTGAGTTTATTTTTCTGCTTATTGAAGTAACTGTGTAAATTGAAGTGTCCAATTGAAACGGTTCACCTTGTTAGGTTACCTGATGTTATTTCGCGTTTGGACTCCCTGACACAGCTGCATTTGTTTGAAACATCGTTAACACAGCTTCCACCGGATATTGGTTACCTTCAAA